GTGGGATCCTCCCGGACCGGGGCACGAACCCGTGTCCCCTGCATCGGCGGGCGGACTCTCAACCACTGCGCCACCAGGGAAGACCAATACAAGAAATTTTTACTCACTCTTCTAGATTCGTAACAAACATCAAATTCTGGTGGAGACTGTCAATAATCACTTTTTTCTCACGTATAAAAATACTTTATACATGACAAATCAAGTACAGGTTTTTGATGATTTTTATTTGTTTTTGTTTGTTTTATATTTTGTAAGCACCAAGCACTGTCCACACAACATGAAGAATATGCTGATAGGTTTTTAAAAAATAGTTCAAGTTGTTTAAACTTCAAACAGGTAAGCTATTTTTCCCACTTAGATAACAGTTAACAATGGTGACACTATGTAAACACAGATTTTTTATATAGTAAACAACAGTCCAACATGTTATTTGGGACTCCTCAAACAAACACACACAAAAAGCAAGTGGTGAAACAAGCTTTTATTTAGATAGTTATAAGTGAGCTTGCCAAAGCGTTTTTATTCATTCCTTCCAACGGAGTATCTCTTCCTAAAAAGTAGAGTGGTATCTAATAACTGTAAAACTCATTCAACAAAAATGAATATTTACCCTGCACATAAGATCATCCAACTTGTGGAAAAACTGTTTGCTGCATTTAATCTTCACATCTTCACAAATATCGATTTGTAAAAGTGTTTTCAAAGGTTTGAAATCATTTTTTCTTAGAGCATTATCAATGCATTTTTCCAACTGCTGAAATATAGAAAACGGCAAATATATTGAATCAAAACCCAAATTAGTCACCTTAGTCACCTTATGAAATCAAATAATTTAAGAATTATTTTCACATTTGAAAATTCTCAAAAGAGCTTATATAATATCAATTCATTTATTTAAAAAACCTGTCCACTATTAAATTCAGAGTAACAGAATTAGAGATTAAGTGTTTTGATAATAATAAGCTCTATACAAGAAAAATATACTTTACTAATTTTCCACTTCATATTTCTTATTGGAAAGTCTATTGGAAAGTCATCATTATGCTAAACTCAACAAAAACCTGTTAATGAAGGAAATAAAAATCAACTTTATAGTAACTAATACTTAATACCATGGATAAAACCCTAACATATCAACTTCTTCATGAAGTTTAAATAGTTAAAAAAAAAAATTGCATAAAGACAGGTAAAAGCATTTTTTTAGAAACTATACCAACCAATATAACTTAAGCATTACATACACATAATTTATTATTTATTATATTCTATATTTATAAGCTTTATAAAATCTGCCATCCCTGCTATTAAAGTACACCACCATTAATAAGGAATTTTCATACATTAATATGATTCTCCTAAATGCAAGTATCTCACAATTTTAAGCCTTGATATAAAAGTATCCAGCCATAAATGATACATAGATCAGTGTATGATTCATTTCTATGTAAGAGGTATATATAAATCATCTTTAGTACTTTATATTCTTAATAAAGCTTTTGGAAACAAATCTATTGAAAAAATAAAAGGATAACATTTTTATTTCAATTATTTGACTCTTGACCATTTCATAAAAACAAGTAAGCTTTGTCTTTCCTAAAACGATGGCATTTAATACCTATAAATAAACAAAAAGTGATTTTAGGAATTAAAATAAAAGACTTCCTTTTGGTCTAGGACTACATACCTGGAGATTTGGTCTTATTGGCATTTTGACTTAATTTTAAAACAGGTGGACAAAACAAACACCTACAAAAGAAAGCATATACTTTCTGAATCTTACAATCTATTTTATATGTTTACAGTTTAAACATCTTAACACACATAAATAAGCATTGCTGCTTATACCAAAGGCAATAAATGTTGTTTCTTCAAGTTCCTCACTGCTTATGAAATTACTCATTTGAATCTGTCCATAGAAGTTTCTGGAGGAAAGCCTGAAGGTCATTTATTCAAGCTTTCCCTTTTTATAAATGACTTAAATAAATGTCAAAGTCCTGCCAAAAGGTCACAAAACTAGTCACTGAAAGAATATAAATGTGAACCTCCCTCATCAGAGATTCCAACTTTGTCCCAACTTTGGGAACAAGAATAAAAATAATCTTGAATTAATGCCTAAATTAAATTTAAGCTAGTAATACAATATTTAAGAAGGGAAGTATATGCAAGTATACTGCCAAAGAACAGGATATGTAAGAATATACAAATATGCAATGAAAGGAGGAAAAGATAACCTAAACACATTTTTCCCTTCAAAAGAGAATGGAAACAGGAAACAGCAGGGTTACATTAAGCACCATCTTAACAAAAGCATCTAACATTTGCAAATGCAATTTGGAGGTTTGGAGGTTAGTCCTATAAAGGAAAAGAAATAAAACAATCTTTTCTAGACATCATAACTAGAACAATTTTAAAATAATCTGTACTATGAAGAGCTTTGTAATAGAACCTCAGGAAATTCAACATAGAAGGGAAATTAATTACTTAATCCAGGAGGAATACAGGACTGTGTATCTTGAAGGCAACAAGAGGCACTAGTCAGTCTACTTTCTTGCAGACATGCCAGTAGAGATATTTAAGTGCCAATGAGGACATACATAAGAGGCATACAAAAGGGATGAGCAAAAAAATATCCTGCATTTCCAAAGATTAACTCCAGGGGGAGAAAATCTGATCCACAGAGAAACACTGATACCACATACATAGGGAGCCAAGTATAAAGATGCTTCTGCAGCATTGTTCTGAGTGAGAAAATTCAAAAGTACCTAGATGGGAGCTACGAACGGGAGGGAGGGTAAGGAATGAATAAATAAAATGTGGCATATGCTAATCAATTTTGTAAAGATAACAGCTAGATAAAATGAACCAGAATTTTAGACATTTGCAGCCAAAGAGTTTTAGTGATTAAAAAACATGTTGCCAGATGATAAAAACAGCATAATGCCACTTATATGCAAAAAGAAACTTTGTATTATTTATGATTATACCTCTAGATACACATAAGTATACACATATTTGTGTGCATGCGTGCACCTGTGTGTGTGTGTAGAGTGACATTCACCTACACCACTCAGGACACTCTATCTGTCAGCTTATTGGGGAGGAAGAGTAGAGAGTTGCACAGAACCATAATCAGCTATTTGGCAACGGGAAACTTCAGTTTTATTTGTAATTTATACTTACTTAACCTTTTTAAAAGTAAATTCATACTAAAATGCAGGTAGGTGGGGTCCAAAACTTGGGATCAGTAAAATGTGGGTTTGGGTTATTGTGAGGGAAATGAAATCACAAGGCCAGCCTCTGCAATTAAGCAGAGTCCAGCTGCTCCATCCAAATCTATCCATGACTTAGCTGTGGCTTTGCCCCATCTGGTTATTGGTTATGGTTGTCTGCTCTAGCTTAAATATTAAATGGGTGACTCTAGATCTGTGGCTAGCTGGGGATTCCAGTATACCAGCAATGATTCCAAGATCTCTAAATAGTTGGTAGTTGTTTTATCATTTTGCCTGGGAAATTGGGAATGCAGGGACCCACCGGTTTGCTTTCCCAATTCCCGACAAGGGGTGTAGCTGTTTTCTGCTTGGCTTCAATCTTTCTCTCTTTCTCCCCAGGCCATCAAAGAAGATGGAAATTTAGCCTGTATTAACTCAATTATGGAGGTAAGAAATAATTACTGAAGGTCAGCAACCAACAGGGGGATTAATGAGGAACCATAAGAGGAACAAGGTAGGCTAGAGAACCCTGAGTGTCCACCACTGCCACTATACAATAGTCCTGAAAGCTGCAGGAGGGAACATTCCTTGGAATAAAAAGACAAAGTTGAGGATATCACAGGATCATAAAGGAACAAAATGTATAGAATAAAAAGTTGAGATATGAAGAAGAGATGCACACATTCCACTATCTATTCAATGAGAAATCCAGAAAAAAATTTAAATAAAAACAGCAGTGGGATGGCAAGAGCTGAATAATAGCCAAGAAATTTCCCAAATAAATATAAACATCCACAAGTTGAAAAAGTCCATGGAATTCCAGGATAAATATGAAAAAGTACATCTAGACATACTGTGAGGACATTTCTGAGTAAGAATAAAAGAGAAAATCTTAAGTCACCACAGCAAAAACGAAACTCAAATACATGCAAAAGAATAAACATAATAGATTCTCTGTTCTCACAATGCAATAAATTTAGAAATCAGCCACAAGATAGCTTCAAACTTCCTATATATTTGGAAATTTAAACACATACATGTGAATAGTCCATGGGATACAGAAAGATAGAAATGACAAAATATTTAAGTGACTAAGAAAATGTGAACATATAAAATCCTATAGGATACAACCAAATCAGCAGCTGAAGTACAATTCATAGACTTGGATGAATTAATTAAAAGGTGAGAAACAGAACTAGCCAAAAGAAAGAGACCCACAGGACCTCCAAATGGTAGTTATTAGACAAATACTTCAAAATAACTGAGTAGTGTGTACATAATGATTATAATACAAGACTGAGAATTGTGGCAGAGAACTGGAAACTGGAGTGGGCAGTAAGGAAGGCCACAGAAAGTCTGAAAGAAGACCAAATAATCCTAAAAACAAAAATAGTCAATAACAAGATTATTAAGAAAAAATAAAATGGATGGTTTTAATAGCAGATTAGACACAGATGGAGTAAAAGAGAAATGGAAGTGGTATCAGAAGATATTTGGAATGAAGCACAGACAAAAATATGGGGGGGTATCAGAAGTCAGATCAAGAACACAGGAGGAGCTTCAAGATGGTGAAAGAGGAAGATGCAGAGATCACCTTCCTCCCCACAAATACATCAGAAATACACCTACATATGGTACAACTCCTACAGAACACCTACTGAACACTGAAAAAGACCTCAGACCTCCCAAAAGGCAAGAAACTCCCCATGTACCCGGGTAGGGCAAAAAAAACAAAACAGAGACAAAAGAATAGGGACGGGACCGGCACCAGTGGGAGGGAGCTGTGAAAGAGGAAAGGTTTCCACACACTAGGAGCTCCTTCACTGGCAGGGACGGGAGGTGGGCAAGGGGGAAGCTTTGGAGCCACGGAGCAAAGCGCAGCAACAGGAGTGCGGAGGGCAAAGCGGAGATTCCAGCACAGATGATCGGTGCCGACCGGCACTCACCAGCCCGAGAGGCTTATCTGCTCACCCACCGGGGCAGGCAGGGGCTGGGAGCTGAGGCTTGGGCTTCGGTCGGATCACAGGGAGAGGACTGGGGTTGGCGGCGTGAACACAGCCTGCAGGGGGCTAGTGCACCAAGGCTGGCCGGGAGGGAGTCCGAGAAAAAGTCTGGAGCTACCGAAGAGGCAAGAGACTTTTTCTTCCCTCTTTGTTTCCTGGTGCGCGAGGAGTGGGAACTTAAGAGCGCCGTTCAAAGGAGCTCCAGAGACCGGCGTGAGCCGTGGCTAAAAGCGCGGACCCCAGAGACAGGCATGAGATGCTAAGGCTGCCGCTGCCGCCACCAAGAAGCCTGTGTGCGAGCACAGGTCACTATCCACACCTCCCCTCCTGGAGCCTGTGCAGCCCGCCACCGCCAGGGTCCCGTGATCCAGGGACAACTTCCCCAGTAGAACGCACGGCGCGCCTCAGGCTGATGCAACGTCATGCCGGCCTCTGCCACCGCAGGCTTGCTGGGCATTCTGTACCCCTCCCTCCCCCAGGCCTGAGTGAGCCAGAGCCACCAAATCAGCGGCTCCTTTAACCCCGTCCTGTCTGAGCAAAGAACAGATGCCCTCGGGCGACCTACACGCAGAGGCGGGCCGAATCCAAAGCCGAACCCTGGGAGCTGTGCGAACAAAGAAGAGAAAGGGAAATCTCTCTCAGCAGCCTCAGGAGCAGCGGATTAAATGTCCACAATCAACTTGATGTACCCTGCAGCTGTGGAATACATGAATAGACAACGAATCATCCCAAATTGAGGAAGTGGCCTTTGGGAACAACGATATATTTTTTTCCCCCTTTTTCTCTTTTTATGAGTGTGTATGTGTATGCTTCTGTGTGTGATTTTGTCCGCATAGCTTTGCTTCTACCATTTGTCCTAGGGTTCTGTCTGTCCGTTTTTTTTATAATTACTTAAAAAAAATTTTTTCTTAATAATTATTTTTTATTTTATTTTATCTTCTTCTTTTATTTCCTCTCCCTTTTATTCTCAGCCGTGTGGAGCACAGGCTCTTGGTGCTCCATCCAGGCGTCAGTGCTGTGCCTCTGAGGTGGGAGAGCCAACTTCAGGATGTTGGTCCACAAGAGACCTCCCAGCTCCACATAATATCAAACGGCAAAAATCTCCCAGAGATCTCCATCTACATAACCCACTGAACCAACCTGGGGACAGACACCAAAAACAATGGAAACTACGAACCTGCAGTCTTCAAAAAGGAGACCCCAAACACAGTAAGTTAAGCAAAATAAGAAGACAGAGAAACACATAGCAGATGAAGGAGCAAGGTAAAAACCCACCAGACCTAACAAATGAAGAGGAAATAGGCAGTCTACCTGAAAAAGAATTCAGAATAATGAGAGTAAAGATGATCCAAAATCTTGGAAATAGAATGGAGAAAATACAAAAAACGTTTAACAAGGACCTAGAAGAACTAAAGAGCAAACAAACAATTATGAACAACACAATAAATGAAACTAAAAATTCTCTAGAAGGGATCGATAGCAGAATAACTGAGGCA